GAAGACCTCAGCCTCTTTTTTGAAACTTAGAAGATGTTTGTCGAGATCCAGCGCAACTTTCCACAACATTATAAGACAATGAAAGTGTTTTTTGATCTTGCATGCATATCAGCCTGTTGTTGGAGACCCCCCAAAACCAAAATATGACTATAGGGGCTCTTTAAAATGCTGCTTCTGAGAAACGGTTTGGTTTCAGAATTAGTAAGTTGATGATGCAATACAAACCAACACCATTTGATGGTAGGATTGCACACAGTACAGTTAGCGCCAACAGTTGAGAACACACTCTCTCATACAAGAATGCACTCGAGCGTTAATGAGTGATGCAAAAAAAAAGAAAAAGTTGACTCTGAATGTCTTGTGTTTAAGGATGAAAGGACACAAAATACTTCTTCACCAATATAGGACATAAAGCGATATGTCTAATATGCCAAGAAAGTATTGCTGTAGAAATTACAGCATCAGTCATACTTTTTGAAAAGAAGATTCTCATCATGTGCTTTTTTTCTATGTCTGCCAATATATTTTATATTTTCCACTTCCAATTTACTTAATTGTTTTATAGTATTAATAAGTACATCTACACTCACCGGCCACTTTATCGGGGCTGTGATTTGCGCTGGATGGCTGCTGGACCAGTTGGCTGCCCGCACTCAACGGACTGTTTTCCATTACCCCTGTTCCCATCCCCTCTGTCTATGTTGTGTCTTGCCGGTGTGCTTATGCTAAGATAGGGCGTTTTTTTTCCCTTTTCTCACTTTGTCCTAATCAAGGGCAAGCTGAGGGGGTGTTTTTTAGCCTAACTGTCCAAATGTATCTTTCTTCGTTTCTAAATGCTGCCTCCTAAGATCTGTCTCCCCTGAAAAGTTGTTTGTGATGTATGGTCTGGGGGGTCCAATTTCGCTATATGAAAGTGTAGTGACAAATAAAGGCTTGATTGATTGATTGATTGATTGATTGATTAGGTACACCTGTCCAACTGCACGTTAAAGCAAATTTTTAGCCGGCCAATCACATGGCAGCAACTCAATGCATTTAGGCGTGTAGACATGGTCAATATGATCTGCTGCAGTTCAAACCCCTCTGGTCTTAAAAGCTTGCCCACTTCAGCTCCAGGGACACCATACAGACATATTATTTTAGATCTTGTAAAAAGGAGAATAATAGGGCCCCTTTAAGGAAAAACTCCCTTCATTTTGACTTCTTATCTTCTTGATTTAAGAATGCTTAGATATTTGGACTGGAAACAAGACTGAAACTCGAAGTAAGAAATGCATTTTTGCAGTGTAGTACTTTAATTGGTTTGGTGCATTAGCACTGAGTTAATGAACTATGGTAATTAACAGTAAATTTAGAGATGTTGCTACTGTATTACAGTAGAGCTTTTCTATTTTAAACCTGGCTATGAAGGATCTTGAGTAGTTGAGTTTGCCTGAATGTATCCTGCAGTATGTGGGTCAGACATTAGCGTCTGACTGCTGCATCTCTCCTGCTGGGTGCACAAGCTTTAATCTCACCTTCTTCACAGCGAACTGACTCTCAGCAGCAGCAGGAGGAATGGAAATGTGCTCGGCCCTCGGGGGCCCCTAGGGGCCACAGAATAGGGGAAGTGTCTAGCTTGAAAGCTGAACTGATGGGCCTGGAAAAAGATGCATTTGTCTGATGCTATCAAGAGGCGAAGAACTCAAACCGGACCAGAAAAGAATGAAGTTTTTATGAAAGGAATGCCTCCCTTGGAATTCAATAGTCTCACAGGCGATTTTTCCAACCTTCTGTTTATGGAAGGAATTCTTCATTTGGAAGTCACTTTGGATAAAGGCGACTGCAAAGTGGAAATATGTCAACGTAGGAGGGAAAAAAAGGCAAATGATGAAAATGAGGCAAATTCCTCATCGTGTTCGTTTCAGGTTTATGAGCTGACCTCGCTGTGTGTTTACGGCATGACGGAAATGTTTCAGATTACAAACTTGATGAAAACGTACACTTGCTTTGGCATGTTGCTGTTGGTATGTGCATGGCATTAAAAAAGTTTTGTTAAGTGAAATAATGTAAATAAATATTTTAAAAAAAACTTTTATTTGAATGAAAATATAAATGTTGTGCAAAAAGTACTGAAGCTAAATCTGAAATCTAAAAAAACCTAAAAAAAATTAAGCTTAGCTGATGTAAAAATACAAAACACAACATAATTACTAAAATTAAAATTAAAAAGTAAAAAACAAACATATTAGCTTTTATTATTTTATTTCCATTTCAGTTACTCATGCGATGCTATATATTTAAGATTTATCAATAGTATAACACAAAAAAAAACTGCTGTGCTAACAATTTATTGATTTATTTTTGTACTTTTTATGTTACTCTACTACCTGACATAAACTCTTGTTATAAGAGCAACAAATAATAACTAGACTTCTAGATGATCATTTGGAAAAAGTGGCAGAAGGTTGATTTTTCTGTGAATCATCTGTTGAGCTGCATCCCGATCATCACAAATACCGCAGAAGACCTACTGGAACCCACATGGACCCAAGTTTCTCACAGAAATCAGTCAAGTTTGGTGAAGGAAAAATCATGGTTTGGGGTTACATTCAGTATGGGGGCGTGCGAGAGATCTGCAGAGTGGATGGCAACATCAACAGCCTGAGGTATCAAGACATTTGTGCTGCCCATTACATTACAAACCACAGGAGAGGGCAAATTCTTCAGCAGGACAGCCCTCCTTCTCATACTTCACCCTCACATCAAAGCTCCTGAAAGTGAAGAAGGTCAAGGTGCTCCAGGATTGGCCAGCCCAGTCAACAGACATGAACATTATTGAGCATGTTTGGGGTAAGATGAAGGAGGAGGCACTGAAGATGAATCCAAAGACTCTTGATGAACTCTGGGAGTTCTGCAGTTCTGCCATTCCAGATGACTTTATTAATCAGTGATTTGAGTCATTGCAGAGATGTATGGATGCAGTCCTCCAACCTCATGATGGAGTCAGACACAATATTCATTCTTTTTTCATGACACTATATTCTAAAGTGTACATTATTTCTGTTAAATGACAAGACTTTTGTCTAAGCAAAGTCAGACCTTACTAATGAAATAATTAAAAATCAAGGCAGGATCATAGTTTATTTTGGTAATACGCATAATCTAGAGCAGGGGTTCTCAAATGGTTTGCTCATGGGACCCACATTTTTACATGGTAATCAAGCCGCGACCCAAATTTTTAGGAACTAGAATATAATTTTAGGAATTATAATTCGTTTGTATTTATTTGTTAACATACACAAGTGGAGTCAGATAAAGCATAAGACAATCACCAAGACTTACAAATAAACAATATTTAATACTGTAAACAGTGGTTAGGTTAAGGCAAAGTTAAGTTACCATGAACTAACCTGAACTGTTAATAAAATATTAACACTGATCCGGTTGAACAGAACAAACCAGCAAACTTAAGTAAAATGATTAAAATAATCATAACCATTCATTCATTCATTTTCTTGTCAGCTTAGTCCCTTTATCAATCCGGGGTCGCCACAATGGAATGAACCGCCAACTTATCCAGCAAGTTTTTACGCAGCAGATGGATGGATGGATGGATAGATAAAGATGGATGGATAGTTAGATAGATAGATAGATAGATAGATAGATAGATGGATGGATGGATGGATGGATGGATGGATGGATGGATGGATGGATGGATGGATGGATGGATGGATGGATGGATGGATGGATAAAGATAGATAGATAGATAGATAGATAGATAGATAGATAGATAGATAGATAGATAGATAGATAGATAGATAGATAGATAGATAGATGGATGGATGGATGGATGGATGGATGGATGGATGGATGGATGGATGGATGGATGGATGGATGGATGGATGGATGGATGGATGGATGGATCCCATCTCTGGGAAACATCCACACACACATTCACACACTCATACACTATGGACAATTTAGCCTACCCAATTCACCTGTACTGCATGTCTTAGAACTGTGGGGGAAACCGGAGCACCTGGAGGAAACCGATTCGAATGCAGGGAGAACATGCAAACTCCACACAGAAACGTCAATTGAGCCAAGGCTTAAACCAGCGACACAGCGACGTTCTTGCTGTGAGGCGTTAGCACTACCTACTGCGCCACTGCTTCGCCCATAATCATAACCATTTTTATAATATTCATCAGTTATTTGCTCTTCTGCTTTTGTGTGGGCTTTCTTGGCCTTTGCTACAAGGGTGAGCACAGTAAAATGTGCAGAGTCCCTGTACTTGTTTTAAACATTAAGTTGTTAGGCCCTTTTGTGATGCTCTCAGCTCTTAGAGTCGTCTTTGAAAATAGTCCACAGGTTTGTCCTTGCAACTGGGATGTTTGGTTTCTAAATGTCGTTTTAATTGAGCAGGTTTCATGCTGTCTTGTGAGAGCACCTCACTTCATATGACACACTGAGGTTTTAAGCCTTTTTTGTCGTCAATATATGTAAATTCACACTTTACATTTTCAGGGTCGTCCTTGCGCTTCAAATCGTTATAAATTTACTTTTGTGCCTGAAGCAATTAGGTTATGTAATAAATGTAGTTAATCGATGGACTATGTTGTTGTTAAGTGTTGATGTTTATTGTGTTAAGTGTGTTAATTTTGTTATACTATATGTGAGGCACCACCATGTCGAAATGAATTGCCCCAAGGGGATTAATAAAGTTTTAAACTACTATAAACTAAACTAAAGTAAACATATTTGTTGCTATAATTAAATGAAATTTCACATTTCAAAATAAAAGTCCGATCTAAGCAAAATAAGTAAAAAATTTAACTTTTGTTGTTTTATTGATCACACACTCCGTGACCCACTGAAAATGTGCCCGCGAACACTGATCTAGTGTCCTACATAAATAATAAAAAAATCAAGAATGCTTGCAACTTATTCTATCATTTGAATGGCGCATGGTTCCACAAACTTGCCATTCACACTACTCAAGCTCTTCAGAGTTTTACCTGTGCAAACGGAGGTGCAGGCGATTTTCTGGATGGCCTGTCCATCACACGGCGAGCCTCCGTTCAGTGGTGCGGGATTGGTGCAGCTCCGTGTCCGTTTCTGAAGGCCCCGCCCACAGCGACTGTTACACGGTGACCACTCAGTCCATGTCGACCAGCCTCCGTTCACTACCAAAACAAACACAATTATATATTATAAGAATGCCCTGAAGTGCCTTGAAATTCACTGATGGGCAAGATGTGATGTACAGTTCAGTCTGAACTATTAGCCCTCCTGAATTATTACTCTTCCTGTATATTCTCTATCATATGACTGCACTCTTGCTTCGACTGCAACCCAAATCAATATTTCATGTCTATTTACTGCTTTATTTGGTAAACATGGGTGCTCTGCACACAGTGATATTGCACTGCAAGAGAAACCCATTATTTAGCAATAATGAAAGTATAGCTGTACATGATCTTTTCCTCATATACAGTCACAAACCACAGGTAATTTACCCTGTTTACTGCTCATTTTAAAGAGTTTCATTTCATTTTTCAGAATAAAACCGAGGATTATCTGTGTTCTTCTTAACTCAAAGCCACTTTCTGCTGTTTGAAATAAAGTGACTCTGTGCAGTACTGCAGTTGTTTGTGGTATTACTGTGCTGGTTATATGGTTGACTCCATATGATTTATCACAGAATTTAGCATATTTTCTAGGTCACCTTGAAAAGCGTCTGTTAAATGAATAAATATAAATGCATTAAAAAGTTTCTGTATGATTGCTGAGGGAAGATTTCGCATTTCTCAGACATTGCAGAGCAATCTGGAGAAAGCAAGTGAAGTGGGTCTTTGAAAAAGGTGCAGAAATCAAATCTACAAGCATAAACAGGATAATATATATGAGATCATTAAAGACAAAACTTGCTGGATAAGTTGGCGGATCATTCCGCTGTGGCGACCCCGGATTAACAAAGGGACTAAGCCGACAAGAAAATGAATGAATGAATGAAACACATACGACTACATTTATGCAATCACTAGCCTTTTTGGTTAGGGTCAGAATACAATTTTCAAGCTGGCATTCATTAGTCCTTTATTTGTCAGTGGTGGCCACAGCGGAATGAACCTCCAACTATTCAAGCATATGTTTTACAATGTTTTTGTTTATGTTTTGGGTGCCTTTCCAGCCGCAACCCAGTACTGGGAAACACCCATACACACAAACTACTCTACGGCCAATTTAGCTTATTCAATTGACCTATAGCGCATGTGTTTGGACTGTTGGGGAAACCGGAAAACCCGGAGGAAACCCACGCCAACACAGGGAGAACATGCAAACTCCACACAGAAATGCCAACTGGTCCAGCCAGGACTCGAACCAGCTATTTCCTTGCTGTGAGGCAACACTGCTAACCACTGAGCCTCAGTGTCACCCAGGTTGGCATTTACAGTTGAAACCAGAAGTTTACATACACTGTATAAAAAGGCACATAATCTTTTTTTAAAAAGTCAGATGTTAATGCACCATTTGTTTCTGTTATGCTTAATTGCAGAATAATGAGAGATTTTTTTTTTCTTTTTTGAGATATTGAAGTCAAATGTTTACATACCATAAGATTATTCTGCCTCTGAAAAACCTCAGCTGATGGTGTCAAGGTTTTGGAAGTTTCTGATTGGCTAATTGACAACATTTGAGTTAATTGGAGGCACAACTGTAGAATAGCATTTAAGGAAAACCTCAAACACACTGCTTCCTTGTGTGACAACATGGGAAAATCAACAAGCCAAAATCAAAAACAAAGCCAGATTACAATTTGCTAAATGACACGGGGGAAAAGAGTAATGTTTGGAGACATGTCCTGTGGTCTGATGGAACTAATATTGAACTGTTTGGCCATAATGACCAGTGTTACATTTGGAGGATGTTACGACTGAAGTTTATTTATTTATTTATTATTGCGGATTGTACTCTGTGTTTTCTTTTGTCCCGCCTTCTTGTTGTTTTTCGGTTGTCTCAAAGGCTCCCATACCGGCGTGATTCCCTGTTCTGATTGGCTGCTGGTCTCAAAAGCCTGTATAGACCTTTTTCATGGCTGCTGCATGGAGGGCGCCATAGCGACCAGCGTCTTCCGGTAGAATGCTAAAAACTTCCGTTTACAGCGTGTACAACTGGTAATTTGCGCTCCGAAAATGGGTTTCAATAACGTTTTTAAGGGATAACAGAGTGTTTTTGTGACACACAACTTAGAAATGTGTCTGTTAAAGCCGTTATAATCTGTCACACATGGTTCAAGCGCGTCAGAATTACGAGAAAAACGTTCTCCTAGTTCACGTGTCTGCAGTCAGTGTGTGTGTGCGTTCCCGGCCTGTCAGCTGTTAGCTCAGCGGCTCTTTAACACACACACACGCACGCACACAGAGAGAGAGAGAGAGAGCAAACCAGAGTACTGGCATGAAACTTAACAGGTATGAAAGTCGTGCAATTTACAAAAATGACCAATAAAAGTCTGTTACTGATCCTCTGCTGGCTGATTTGCTGTTCATTCTAATCGCGAGCCGTTTGTGTTTTATTTTGTGTGTTGTTTTTACCACGGTTTGTGTTTTTCTGTCATTTCGAAATGACACTAGCCTTTATTTTCACTTTGTCACAGTTATTAAATCAGTGTGTCAGTGGCACAGTACAGGCTACATGTGTGTGTCAAACATTTTGGTGAATTACATTTGTTTGGGCTGGTTATATATTTGAAATAAAGAGAAACTGTTGACTTTAGCGATGATGAGGCTTCATTTAAACTGCAGAAGATGCCGTCTGACAACGAGGGGAAAACGCCTCACAGCAGCTGTTTTTCATCCTATTAGATCGCATTTCTTTAAATGATCAGTCCAGGAGATGCTGCTGATGGACAACAGTATTAGTTCAAAGAGGATAAAAGCAGGTAAAATAGATTAAAACTATCGTTTCAAAGCTGTCCAAATGTGACTCTTTACACGCATCAGCTGCCGACCGGAAGTTCTTCGCATTCTCCTTGCGCATACACGCAAAGCATAATGGGTAATTTTACGTTCCAAGAAAAAGGTCTATATAAGGGAGCTTCCGGCAGGGTTCGGAGAGCTCATTTCTGTGCGTTCGCTGTTTGGAGCGGAGCTCCCGGATTTCCCTCACCCCTTTGGCCGACGACCAAAAACCAATATTGTACTGATGACAGTAATACGTTAAAATATTTTTGAGAGTTTGAGCGTGTAGGGGTGACCTGCCTATTTATTTGATTACTTTTGACTTTGTTTACGTTTAGGGAGTAAGGTAAGCTTTTTGTATTTTTCTTTAAATAATAAAAGTTAATTTAGTGGATTTACTTTATAGATTCATTTGTTTGTTTATTTTGGCCTGTGGTCACCCTGAAGAAATGCTCATTTATATTAACCACATTTTTATATAATAAATCTATTCATATATACTCTCAACTGAGTGTGTGAGATTAGTTGTCGGCCGAAAGGAATCTTTTGCTTTAAGTTTTGCTTTGTTTGGGAAATCCACCACCCCAACACATTTGTTTTCTCTTCGTTTATTATGCCCTTTTTGTTTCCCCTAGACTTGGGGCATAATTGAGGACAAAGAGGAAAGCTTACAAGCCTAGGAACACCATCCCAACTGTGAAGTATGCGGGCGGCAGCATCATGTTGTGGGGCTGTTTTGCTGCAGGAGGGACTGGTCAACTTCACAGCATAGATGGAATTATGAAGAAAGCACATTATGTAGAAATACTGAAGCAACAACTCAAGACTTCAGTCAAGAAATTAAAACTTGGCCACAAATGGGTCTTCCAAACAGACCATGACCCCAAGCATACTGCCAAATTAGTTAAAATGTGCTTAAAGGACAACAGAGTGAATGTTTTGGAGTGGCCATGACAAAGCCCTGATCTCAATCCTATAGAAAATGTGTAGGCGGAGTTGAAAAAGCTTGTGCGAGCAAGACTGAATCTGACTACAGCTGATCCCTATCACTAAATTTAATATAAATATCCAGCTAAACTACAATCCTCATCTTCATTTTGGAACCTCCCCATCCATCCCTTCTCCCTCCTCCTCAATTCTAAGTTCGGGCGACACGGTGGCTCAGTGGCTAGCACTGTTGACCCACAGCGAGGTGGTCGTTGGTTTAAACGCTAGCTGAGCCAGTCGACACCCTCTGTGCGGAGTTTGTATGTTCTCCCCGTGCTCGCGTGGGTTTACTCCGGTTTCCTCCCAGTCAAAAAACATCCAACAAAAGTCACAAGCACCGAATACATACAAACCGGCACAGTTGGCGGCCTATTCTTGGGAAGTTATCGAGAACTACCTGATCTCGTATCCCTACTAATGCTTATTGACCAGGCGGGAGCCTTGGGCTCATGTATCTCCGAGCTCAGGCTTCTATCCCAGGACAGCATGCCAAACCTGCTAAAATAGTCAAGCATTATCTAAGTGTGAACTCTTGAAAAATTGTTGTGGAGTTCTGCAACGATGAGTCACACACAATGTTGCTACAAAGTTCACGCATGCACGCACGAACGCACACGCACACACACACACACACACATTGATGTTCTTTCGGAGAACGACAAAGAAGCTCTTAAACTGTCACCCCCTCTGCTGCTATTAACTTACTACATATCTCTCTCTCTCTCTCTGTATATGTGTGTGCGTGTTTATGTTCATGTGAGGGAGTAGATTAGCTGTAAGAAGATTCCTCCCTTTCCTTTCAATCTTCTTCATTTCAGAATTACGAGGCCATACAGACAAAGAGCCCGCGGCCTCATCTCTCCGTCTCTGAGAATTCAAAAACATTTGAGATTTTCACCCTCTAAATGCGAGCGATGTTCACCTGTGTACAGCTATGCTCCACTAAACACTTATTACTAGGGAGCTTATAACATGTTTTGAGTGGTTACTTCTTTTTATGTTTGTTAAGAGTAAACTACTCTCTGCCTAAAACACCATGCTGACCCCATCTTCAATATACAGTACAGTGCAAGTCAAAACGATTGACCTTCCTGCTATTTATTTCTTTTTCAAATATTTGCCAAATGATATTTAACAGAGCAAAAAAAAATTCACAGTATGTCCTATAATAGTTTTTCTTCTGGAGAAAGTCTTATTTGTTTTATTTCAGGTAAAATAATAAATAAAAGCAAAAAAAA